AGAAGGGGGAATGATAAGCACACTTTTACGTGCTTATGTAAGCTCTTAAGTAAAGACAAACTAGCCTTGAAATAATCAAGCTGTGCTGCAGTGGTAACTGCTGAGTCTGTCTCCACTGGAAGCAGTGAGGTTTTCCTTTCTCTTTCCAGCTTGTCTTCACCTTTTCCCTTCCAGTTCTCCAGAGGTAAGGCTGAGACAGCTTCTGGCCCTCAGCGTCCAGCAGCACCTTGCTGCTGTTTCTGTACAGCTGTGTTATTCACATGGAAACTATTGTTCATCAGCATCTCCCACAGAGCTTTGGTGATTATTCCTCACTCAGCTGAAAAGCATTACCTGCAACAGACACTCACCATTCCTCATTTCTCTTCAGTAAAATAATGCTACTATAAGAAGCTGTGTATCCTGCCAGTCATCATACCAATGCTTGTTCTTCACCTTCTCCCAAAACAGTATTGTCTTACTTTCCTACCATGCCATTTTCCTTTGACAATCCAAAAATACAGTACAAATTTTGCAAGAGGTGAAGGCAAAGTTTTGGATTTGCAAGTACACAGAAAGCTCTGAAAAGTTAATTTCCCACAGTACCTCCATATAGGGCATCTTTTCTCCCACTGTTTTTTCTCCAACATGCTCTGACAAGAGCTTTGTCAGAGACAGCAAGTCTTCGGGAAAGTCAGAGAATAAAACAGCTCTTATAAGAGAATAAAATAGCTCTTATAACCCAAAGTGATTTGGGGTTTGAATTTTTGTTTTGTTTTGTTTTGGTTTTTTGTTGTTTGTTTTTGTTTTTAATGGGAGGCTCTTAGGACCTATTGCAGCATGCCATTTTCACTCATTTGCTTTCATTATTAAGTTAGCAGTAAATTTGAATCCTGCAAATCTGATTTAAAATTTAAAATCATTTCTTGCCTACAATCTGTGGTGATGACTTATTACTTGGAGACATAGGAATTATATACTGTGGTTTTAATATGAGACAACATAATGGGCATTACCATCAGTGCAGCCTTACAGCAGCAAATGTTTACAAATTAGTTCCATATGCTGATGCTAACAGGGCAAATTTTATTTAAAGTAATTATCAGACTTTTCACTTTCCTAAAATGAAGTTTGGGTTTAGGTATGTTTAGTATGTATTTAGTAAGCTTAATGTAACAGATGACCGAATAAGGCCTAAGAAATTGCTCTTATTAAAAATCTGGAAAACCCACAACGCAATGAAAACACTCCTGCTCTCCAGCTGGAACGTGCTTGCCCCTGTAATGACCAGGATACCATCATCTGTGAAATCCAAGACAGCTGAGAGTTTCAAGGCTATCTGCACCAGATGGTGCTATAGATGACATAAATTGTAAGTGGGGATGGATGGGAGTTTGCTCAAAGGTGCATACTTTTTTCCGTCTGTAACACACTGGAGTTGATACAGCAAGTGAAAGTAGAGGGGGAAAAAGAGAAAAAGAATCTTGGAATAGAAGACTCAGGACAGGAAGTCTGGAAGTGCAGTCATGGGCCCCAGCAGGCTCATGTAGCTGTTACGAGGCTGAGCCTGTGCCACAAAAGCTGCAGAGCCAGCTGCAGAACAGCAGTCAGAAATAAAACACAAACTTTGTTTTGCAGGTTACTGAGTGATTTTGCAGACAGCAGTGACCTGAAGTCACCGTGGTTACATTTCCTCTCATCTTTAGGTGGTTACTGCAAAACTGGTCCTGCGTAGGACTGCTGTGACAGAGTGTAGTGACTCACAGACTGTATTCTCGGTGTGGAGAACAACTGGGGGGTGTTGCTGGAGGATTAAGTCTGATAATGAAGTGCTCTGAGCTTTCTGATAAAAGGGTTAATGTTTCTATTGGCCTTTGTGCTGAACTGGCTATAAACTGAGCTGGTGTCGAAATATCATTCATCAGCTAAAATAAGTTATGATCATTCTAGTGTCATATTTTAACAGCCAGTAGTCCTGAACCCATGGCTTGAGAAAAGCCAGATGCCCACAGATCTTTTAATAGTGATTGTAGCCATGATAAGCCATTATTTTGATGCAGCCTGATGGGAAGAGCAAAAGGTCCAGTGTTGCCTCTGTTGCTTTGCTCACTCAGTACTTCTGCCTGTGCATGAGAAGGGGAGGTAACACAGGTCTACAGAACACTTAAAGAGTGCACAGTTTACTTTGGGGGATTTTGTTTTACTGTTTTGATGTAGTTTATTTAAAGGAGCAGTGATACTGATCTCCTGAACGAGGATGTACAGGCAGTGTGTGAAAGGAACGATAGAGAAGCAGCAGCAGGAGCAAGTTACAGGAGCGAGCAGGAGCTGTTGGCCAACTAACACAAGTTACCCTCTGCTGGCATCTGCCATATCAGAAGATAAATTTGCATCATCCATTTGATACTGCCACAGAGGATGGCAGCTCATTACTCATATTTGCAGTACAGAAATGTGAGTAAAAGGGTCAGTACTAATAAAGGGCTGGGGAGAGATTTCTTCATCTCTGCAAAACTCACCTTGCCTTTCTTTCAATCAGTAGTACAAAATTATCCCAACCTATTTCAAATAGGAGTTTTTTGGATTCAAAATTAGATCGTGTGTTATTAAAGTCCATGAGACTCCTAGTGCTATGTGGGTAGAAATATTTTTTTCCCCTTGATTAGTAGAATTGAATTGTTTCTTGCCATTGACTTTTATGTGTTAGAATGCTTAGCTCTAGTCTTGGAAGACAATGTGAGCCATTAAGCTCCAAACAAATCACAGGAAGCACTCCAAACCTTGCCAAGCATTTCTTTTCTTTGTTAAATTACAAAGACCAAAGTGCTCTAAGTCTTGTTCCCACTGTGTTTTAAGTGAAGTGCTGATTTTTCAGCTCTCAGGGAGATCCCCTGTTCCCTTTGAAATATATGGAACAACCTGTGGGAAATCATTGGGATTGCTCATGTGAATAACATGTACATTCTCCAAGCAGTTATTCTTAGTGCTTTTCTAATAACATGGTATTGGATCCTTATTTGAAAGAGGCTCATTGTGCTGTGAGTGTGCTGTGCGTGTCGGTGTAGAAGCACTGTAGGCTATTTGACATCTGAGTTTGTTAATTATGGGCTGAATTATGTGGGGATTAGATAGGAAGAGGGCTCACATCAGCCAGGAGCAAACCAAGGAACCACTGAAGAGAGCCTCCAGATCAAAGCTGCCAGGAGTAACTATGGCTGCTTGTATGAAAGAAAGGGATTAATAGCCCATTATCATTGCCCCAGGTGAGTTGCCTGTATTTCTTCTTTTTGAGTAGTTCACAGGAGCAGCAGTTAGGATGGATTTTGAGAAGTACTGGGACCATCACCTTTTTAATCAAAATTTTAACCACTCTTTTAATAAGAATGTGGGGAACCAAAGTCAAGTCATGCCCCTTCCATGGGCTTTCACTGCACTGGGAAACAGATCTGATGGAGCAGCCTAACCCCAAGTGCCTTGTCCTCCTTCTCAGCCATCTCAGTATTCTGCACACGTGAGCCAAGCCTTTGTGATTCTCCAGGCCAGAGGAGCACGGG